CGTCCCTCTAAATTTTGCTAGGAACACAAATGATCATGTTTAACCTGATTCAATTTTGGACTTCAAGGTGATATTCTGCTTTACGAGTGACGACGTGGCACAAGTAAAATCACTGCTCCTGAAAAAAGTTCGACTACGACACAACTTCGGCATGCGTCAACGGACATTTGAATATTTACGACTGGAAAGTGATCATGACAGTTCTCCACATGACATTACCCATAGTTCCGGTCTACGCTGCCATTCTCGTCCTCAGAAAGTTAACACTAGCAAGACTAAGCGCAGAAAGAGTCATGTCGGAGCACAGCAAGCATCTTCACACTCAGCTTCTCAAGGTGGGTAATGCGTTTTTCGTTTAAAGTGAGAAATGAGAGAGGGAGGGAGGAAAAACTAATGTATTTTCGCGAATTTTTTTTATTGTGATATTAATAATAATCTACTATATATAATTCCGCTATGTGTGTCTGTGTTGTGTGCGTGTGTTGTGTGTGTGTGTGTCACGAAATTCATAACGCCGGTCACAGCAGCAGGGAGAATTTGGTTTCAAGATATGATATTGGGCATGGGAGGGGAAGATTATTGGTGGGTGATAGGAAGTGATATCTACTGATAAGATCCGATAAGGGGCGTCCAAAAGGTACGGTCACCATATTCATAACAAGGGTGACAGCATTAGTTGGCTGTTGATTCTCAGATATGATATAGGGTATGGAAGGGGAAGATTATTGGTGGGTGATAGGAAGTGATATCTACTGATAAGATTCGATAAGGGTCGTTAGAATGGGATCGCCACCACATTCATAACGCTGATGAAAGCATCAGTTAGGTATCCATTTCAAGAGATGATAAAAGGTATGCGACAAGATTATCATTGGTGGGTGACACGAAGTGTCAGCACCTGATAAGATTCGATAACGCCATTAGAAAGTTATGGTCACTGGGTGTTCACATCGCAGATCACAGCGGCAGTGAGGCGTTGGTTCTAGCAGGTGTTATAGAAGGGGAGATGTGGACATCAGCCGTGGGTGGCTGGAAGAGATAACTGCCTATAGAGGCTGATAAGGAAAGTTGCAGTCGTCGTCGCTGTTCGAGGTGGTTCACGCTACCAAAATATAGAGATTTAGTGATGAGGACATTGATGACGGGTGACAGGTAATCTTATCAATCGATAAAAACCGATAAGATGCCATCTGCGCTACATTTTGATCACTTCTTACCGCTATAATGCCGAGTATTAGAGGCTCAGTGGGTGAACCTCATTTCTCTTTCCGATGTCAACGAATAATGGTCACCGAGGTGTTTGCTACTAGATACTTGAAATGCTGTCGAGCGGGGGGGGGGGGTATATAGCGCGGCTGAAACGGGAAAATCGAGAAAATCATCAATCGAAAAAATTTCGCGGTAGGAGCGGCCGCAATTCAAGCAGTATAAGGAAGGAACTTAACAATTGGGAATGGTGACGTGCTGTCGGTGTAACATTCGAGCTCTCCCACACACACTTTTACAGTTCAAGCAATGTTAAGTTCTCCTTTCTATTGCAACCCATAACTCTGCAGTTATGCCCCTTAAGGTAAGGACTGATCCGGACTGTAATATCGCCTAAAGGAAGGGGGCCTGGCGAAGCCAGGTCGGCTCGGCGAAGCCGAGCCGTGAAGCGGAAGGAGGAGCACCCGGCGGCAGCCGGGTGATCCGACTGGTATAATAATCAAAGTTCGACATCAGGCGACCTCAGCGAAGGACCTTGAAACTCTTTGCTAAAGTCTCAGTCACTAACAGTGAGGTCAGTCGGAGCGTGTCAGCGGCGCGTAGGTTTTGGCGCGGCACCAGTTCCTCTCTCGCTCACTGCACGCCCGAAGCCGCAACCGCTGATGAAATACGGGTTGGAAGCGCACCAGAACTTACCGGCCGCTAACACGCCTCGACTCACCAGTGATATTGACTGTAATCACATGACTTATACTATCACTATTAATCATGCCATTTTAGGCACTCACCATCCAGGCCTTCTTACCGATATTTTTCTTGATATCGGTCATCAGCTATGCGATTGGTCAATTTGATATATGTCATCATCCGCTTCTCGAATATACCACCTTTCTTGTAGGCATTTTCATTCCGCTGTTGAGTCCTATAACTACATTCTATTTCGTCCATCCTTACCGTGTATGGATACGTGACAAATTGTTATGCCTACGAAAGCTTTCTGAATCTCATTCAAGTGAATCCCAACTGAAAGTACCAGTTCGTAGCAGTTTGGAGACTAGCGCCGGGAACTTTTGAATTGAGTCAGCTTCACTTGACTGTTCTTCGACTCAAAAAATGTGTGCATATAATGTGAGGCAGAACGTGAGTAACAGGCTTTTAAAAACCCAGTTTTGGGAGCTGATTAAAGAAGAAAACATAAGAAATCACTGGAAACTCCCTGACTGACCCTTCCTACTTGCTGCTGACTTCAGTAACTTCACTTCAGTGGACTTCAGTAAGACGTGATCCGCCATAACAGTTTGTGGTCTTTCGGTGTTAAAATAATTTGAATCGTGTTAAAGGGAACTGGATTTCGTCTATGTAGTTAAACGAAGTGTTGCTATTAAATCTTGAGAGATGGCTCCAAGATTACACGATTATACGAAGATATCACTTCCAATATAAGCAATAGCAGACTGGAATGTCGTGGATGGCATGAGGAGGCGTGAAGAGCGCGCTGACCAGAGACAGTTATATTAACAGTGTTGAGTAACCCGTGTACAGCATCGAAGTGTCGTGACGTAATAGCGTAGAAGTCGTATCTGTTCGTCGTTGTTGGGAAAAGTGAGGGGGGGGGTCGCATGTGACTTTGAGAGATATTTGCCGCGTTGCGAGAAAACTTCCCCGTTTGTTGCCTCTTCGTCCCGCTCGGCGGGAAATCTTTGGGTGAAAAATTGGAAAATGTACAGGGGGCCAAAAACAGTCACTTCGACCGAGTCACATATAAGCAAAGTTTTCGGCTGCCAGAGCGGGAAGGACGTGATTACGAGGTACGGGGCGGAAGGACCCCAAGATGTTCCTCTATAAGCAGGAGCTGGCCTCGCCCATCACCTTCATGTACACCAAAATATGAAGTCATCTCCAGTCGCAGCCTGACTGGAGAAGACCTTTGGAATTCATGTCACCTCCAAACAGCTGCGAAACTTCTAGTGTGGAGTCACCCATGGTAGCTACCTGAGACAGTACTTCAAATTCTGGAGACCTCCAACATCGAGCAGCTCCGACAACGTCGCTACGGTCTAGGACATCATCTTCACCGCAGTCGTCAAGGAGCGGGTTGATGGTATGGACCGGACGTACCTGGAATGGAAAGACCAATATTTCTCGTGGGCCCCGGACTGAAGGTGAGCGCTGGCGGTTACATCGAGCAACTCGTGAAGAATATCCTCCCACATGTCGTCGCCCGCACCTTCTTGGAAACTTTGTACTGCTACAGCATTGGGTGCCACCACATGGAATCGAAGGGCATTGGAGAAACTCTCGCCTACTTGGAATGGAAGGGGGCTGAGTACCTAAAGAAGATGGAATATCCAAGTAGGTCAGACCTGAATCCCCTCAATTACCCGGTTTCGGGCAAAGTTCAATAGGGTGGTCTACAGTGGCGGAGAAATCGACTATCTCACTGATCTCAGGCACCACATCGCGGTCGCGTGCCAGAATCTCTCGATGGCGCTCGTCCAGAAGGCTGTGGCGGATGCCATGATAGTATTCAGTATGCTCTTTTAATATGGTGGTAAGATGTCGATCAGTCAAATAAAGTGTAAACTTATAGCGCTCGTAAGGTCAGTGGAATGGAACGTGACTTTTTTTGGCCAGCCGTGAAAGGTAGGTGCTGGGGAGGGGGTGTCGTACCGAGACCTTCCCTTAGGTGGGGGTCTCGGCACGATACCCTCCCTCGAGAGGTGGAGAGGGTCGGGTTCGTACTGGCACCACCGTTTCACACATCACGATGCTGCACCCTGTCTGGACCCGATGGCATATCTTACTCCGAAATGAGAGGTACCTTCTACGTCCTTGGCATTCCTTCGGCTTATTATTGCCGCGTCGCCCTTCGCCGCTCGTTTTGGAAGCCGAGAGGAACCGCGAAAAGAGGACTTCTGAAGTCCCGGAGACGCAGACCGAGTTGTATGTGCAAGGGAAAAGACTCTACTCTTGGCTGATCGCGAAATGCTCCTCCAAAACAGTAGAACAGCACAAAGTTCATGGGTATAGGTTGGGCACAGGACAGACTAGAGGCCAAATGCAACTAGAGAATCAGAGCGGAGATAAGTCTATATGGGAGCACCCAGACTAAAGAAATGTGCGTTTCATAGCATGAAAAGGAACTTCTGCAACCCTTCAGTCAGTTGTTCTGGACAAAAATAGAAACGCCATTTGTTTGCAAGATGAGAAAACTGAATGCAAGGGAATCTCAAACCCACCCCACGTCTATCCATTGCGGCTTCGAACTGGGGCGTTGAACAACTGCTATCACAACCAGTCTTTCTGGTAGTTGTGCTCTCTGGTAGAGAGCTCTTGACCGTTTCAGCGCATAGGGTACTGAATGGCGTCGAACAAGCTCAGAGCTTGCGGGCACGATTGCCTGAGGCGGGCGGTTGTTGCTAGCGTCATTGGCGGAAGGGCTCTGAGCTTGGAAGCAGGAGGTTTTGGTCACACCCCATTCAGCTTTCCGCAATTGACGTTCTCTACAGCCGCCTCCTGCCCCCCCCCCCTCCCCCCTTCCCCTTCCCGCCAGCAGTCATATTCACTGCCCTTGAAAAACCATTTCTGGATCACGCCACTTCTCGACTCAACTTATATTATGAGTGCCTGCAAGATGCTGCTGCTGTCATGCAAGCTAACTTTTGAACTCCCTTCAAGAAGGGTGACTCTTGCAACGTCACCATGTTTCCTTGGTCCATCGCTTGGAGGCTGCTGCTTCGAAAGTGAGCAACATTCTGACTTACCACCTCAAACGAAAGGTGATTGTTCGCTCCCCTCTCTGCTCTGGAGCACTTCTTCACAATTTCGGTCATTGAGGAAATTTTCTGTAACGGATACCACATAAGTAGCTCCAGTCCGGCAAGGCGCGCCGAATCACCGTCGCATAGCCTGTTGCACTTACTATGTTGACTCTGGGTACATAAGACCATACACGTATGCTCCACGACCTTGATCAAGGGGGGGGGGAGGGCTGCCTGCGGAGTCCAAAATAGACTTGTTGGAAAAAGGTTTTGCTGCTCGCTGGTGGAACTGCAGAAGAATGCTGCTGGATACCGGCACAGAAACGACACCGTAGTCTGTTCTGACCAGCTTTAACAGTTGGCTCATCTCATATTTAGCATTCGTTCGCAAGAGCTGTACTCTCCTTTGAAAAATGTTTCGGATGAACGAAGGTGAAGGGGGAACGCACCAGAGGAAGAAATCCGAGGAGCGGTGTTCGTACCAAAGGAAAAAAGTGGGCGAGAGGGGGGGTCGTATGTTGCACATGCATGCGCTAGCACGTAGGAATGACAGCGAACACCAGCATGTAGACCAGCAGGGCGGCACAAAAAAGTCCTACGGATCCCGATTGAGACTTAATGGCCGAGGTATAGTTTTTCGAGGCATGTCGCCCTGCAACAAGGAGGGCCCTATTTACAAGCAACAGACTCGTCATAACGTCCCGCAGCTTGCGAACCAAATCGTCTTGTCCACAGAGGCTATTACTTCAGTTGGCTGATCGTGGAATATGCCTTCAACTTTCTGACTCCTACTGTGGTCAGCGGAGGTTCTGTCGTTATTCCCTGTGTCTTACAGGGTCTTCCTACTCTGGACGAGAAACACTCTGATCTCTTTTCAAAAAAAATTTCTCTAGATGCTGTGGATGTTTTAATAATTAGACTTCTGAAGAATTTTTTTCTTCAAAATGGAGACAATATTGCAAATGCCCCTCTGCAATTTTATTCATTCACTGAACCATCTGCACCGCCTATTGCTTTAGCATCATTGCAGGCAGGCTTATGCATGTCCTTTGGAAAGCCAAGCATTTTCCATCTAATGAAATTGTTTTGCTTGTTCCGGATTGCAGTGCTGTAACCAATTACTCAGCTCGAATTGCTGGTTAATTTCTGGAGAATTCCAGTCTGGTACAGCCACAGTTTCCTGAGACGTAGCTGCTAGCTTGGCGACGTTTGCAAGCTTGAGCTGGAAGAGTGTGAGAAAAGCATGTATTTGTAGGGAACGAAAAACCAGTTTGGCTTGGTGGGGCACCAAATAATAATCAGACCACCTTGCGATGGCCTGTAAATTCCTGCAACAAATTGGCCACCTTAATATAAGATCGCAGCTGGGGAATCGCGGCAGCCGGTCTTTGAAACCGCGCCGCTTTTGATCCCGATATACCTATAAAAAACAGTTTGGCATTCAGATATACGTGGTATAATCGTGTCAGAGTTGCTGTCATTCTCAGTAAGTCAATTTTGTTTTTGATTCGTTCCTGCTCCTAACAGAGAACAAGTCATGTACATGTAATAGCAACGCAAATCTCAATTCCAAATTCGTTTTTTCTACTTCTTACTGACCTAAATATTACAATTTTTTGTCAAATGGTCGTTAATTAAATTAAATGGTTTGACTGGTAAATAACGTTCTCGAGGCTTTCTGGATATACTTTGTTTTGATGTTGTGAAATAAAAGCATGTGAAAAAGTTTTGAAGTCAAGTTCTTATGATAAGAATTTCAACATTTTATTCAAAACCCACCCCACATTCTGCATGAAATCTTCGTCCAATCGGTGTTGAGTGTTCCCCAACAGGGGAGTAGTGCTTGGCTCGTTGGGTGAGGAGGCGAGTTGTTTTTGGGCTGAGGGTTGTTATTTTTACAATCTGACGCCTTGAAGAGGTTGTTTAAGTTTTTGTGGATTTCCTATTCATTTGTATCTAGCTCTCCCCCGTTCCCTCCCACACAGCAAAATTTTTTGGTGAAAACAGAAAATTTTTGGGAAATCCCGTCTCAAAACGTGGTAAGAAGTTGGGGGACAAACTAAGGGAGGAACGGTCGAGATGTGTTCTCGTATTTCTTGCGGCTTTTCCCTATTTCATCTCGTTCGCTGTGTCTGTGAGCCCCACCCCCCCCCTCACTCGACAGCTTGATGAAGGAGGGAGGGGAGGAAAGGAGGGGAAGCTAAGGGTAAACTTGGGGATTTTTGTCGTGTCCTGCGGACTCTGTATGTACCCATATGAGTGGTTGAGTCGGGTGCTCTGGGAACGGAGTGCTCCATGCCTCACTGGACTTCC